CAAATCCAGGGGGGCGTGGATTAGCGACGGGCCCCGCTTCCATGGGAACATCACAGATTTCCGCCGCCGAGCGAGGCGGCACCAGCCGCACTCTGGAGAGGGCACCTCCCCCGATCCATGGATGTGGCGACCGCGCGCCACCTCCACGGATCGCGGATCCATGTCTGCGCGCCCCCGGTGGCGGCTTCTGGGGGTGAAGCAAGCATGAAGCAAAACCGTGGCAGCAGGTCAGTGCAGATGGGCCGCTGAACCCCTCTTGACGTCCATCCTGGTTGTTTATTCTCTCGCACAGCTATGTTCTAGGGCTCGGACCTTTTTCTTTTCGTGGTTCGTGGTTCGTCCTCCTCCCCTGGTTCGTCCTCTTCCCCTGGCCTCCTCCACTGGCTTCCTGGCTTCCCTGGGTCCTGGGCCATGGCCTCCCCCTGCCTGCCCCCCCCGCCGGACTTTTTTGTTCCTGGTGCCTAGCAGGCTCCGGGAAGCTCCAGGAGGCCACAGGAGGTACCAGGAGGTATCAGAGTGCCACTGGAGGCCACAGGAGGCCCCAGTAGGCTCCAGGAGGCCCCAGGAGCCCCAAGAGGGTCCAGGAGGCCCCAAGAGGCCCCAGGAGGCCCCAGGAGCAAAAGGCATCAGAAGGCCACAGGAGTGGCTCCAATCCCATATGTTTACGTTTGCTCCTATAGATTGGGCCTCACTTGGAACACGAATCCTTGATGTGCCACGTATGTTCATATCGTCTGTCCTTCTCTTGTGCATCTTATCCTAAGTGTTTTACGTATGTTCCTGTAGATTGTGACTTCCATATGTGCACGAGTCCCTGGTGTTTTATGTGTGCTCCTATATATTGCCCTTCTCCTGCAACTCCACTCCGTAGTGTTTTATGTACGTCTGTTACTATAGATTGGGCCTCTCCTGGGGCACGAATCCTCCCCAGAAACGCCATGAGGCTCCAGGAGGCTCCAGGAGGCCCCAGGAGGCCACACGAGGCCCCGAGAGGCCCCAGGAGGCCCCAATGGGGCTCCAGGAGGCTCCAGGAAGCTCCAGGAGGTTTCAGGAGGCCCCAGGAGGCCCCAGGCTCATGCGCAGAGACGTGCTCGTACTACTGAGACTCATTCACACTCCAACTTATTCACAGGGCTGGACCTAAACGGAGGGGTGGCTGCCTTGTGTCGCCCCCGCGCTGCCGAGAGCTTTCTACGGATGATGGGCTTGTTTTCCACCACCACCACCATGAGTTGGAGGGGGCAAGGAGGTGGAGGACAAGGAGGAGGAGGAGGGGGAGGAGGAGGGGGAGGAGGAGGAGGAGGAGGAGGAGGAGGAGGAGGAGGAGGAGGAGGGGGAGGAGGAGGAGGAGGAGGACCCCCTCCACCTCCAACTTATGGTGGATGTGGTGGAAAACAGGCCCATCCTACGGTGGGACCCCGCGGGCACCGATGTGCCGCCCAACGGCCCGCCCCCCAATCAAGACAGAAGCCCGGTGCTGCCGCGCATCCCCTCGGTCGGGGCTCCGGAGACGGGGGTCAGTGCAAACGGGGGTCAACCAGGGTGCCGTATCTTGCAGGATCATGCAAGGCCAGGGGCGCATTGACGCGGGCTTTGGTGCAGGATCTTGCAGGATCCTGCAAGGCATGACTGGCCCGGGCCTTGATTAACCCGGGTTAGAAGATCCCCGACTCGGCAGGCAGGCCGGTGCCTCAAACTGCCCACAGCCCACTGGCACCCCTGGGCCGCCGCGCATCCCTTCAGCCGGCGGGCAGGGCGACCTCGGTCTTTCACTGTCTGATTCCTTCGGCAGGGACATTTTCCGCCACAGACCTCTGCAGGTCCGAATGGACCCCGGCAGCTCCCCTGGGCCGCAGAAGCCTTCATCATCTTCGTGGCTCGTGGTTCGTCCTCCTGCCCTGGTGCGTCCTCTTCCCCTGGCCTCCTCCCCTGGCTTCCCCTGGGCCCTGGGCCATGGCCTTCTGCTGCCCCCCCCCCCCGCCTGACCTGGTTCTCCTGGGGCCTGGACCACCCCCGCTGACCCTCCCCTGCTTCCCTGTGCCCTGGACTTCCCCCCTCGGCTTAAGTCGGGCCTGTCCCTCTACAGGGGGAATATTCAAAAATAGTCACATAATATTATGGGGACTTTAAAAAACATTATTTCATTATTTTCGGTTAAAACTATATGTGGCAGTTTAGGGACATTCTTTAGGTATTTTTAATTTTTCGTCCAAAATCCGCCTGCAGGGGGACATGCCCGACCTAATCCTGGGCCTCCCAGGGCAGCTCCCCTGGGCCGCAGAACCCTTTGTTTTCGTGATTCGTTCGTTCGTGGTTCGTCCTCCTCCCCCAGCTTCCTGGCTTCTCGACCCTCCCTCCTGCCTGTCCTCCTCCCCCCGTCCTTCGTTGCCTGATTGTGCAGGAGCCAGGGCACGCGTGCCACTTGTTTTCTCTGACGCTTCCGAAATCTTGTTTTACCCTCCCCTCGGCCCAATTTCTGATATTTCCGGTGCCGAAGCGG